GAGAAAGCGATAGTTGTGACCATCACTGCTGAAGTAATTCAAACAGCCCAAAAGCAAAGAGGTGGGAAGAATCTTAGTTAACCATGCCAGCTGTTTTGTCAATTGAGCTACAAGAACTTTTCTGGTTGTCAGATCAAATCAAACCTTTTAAACGTTGTTATTGCCTGATCAATTAGTCTTTACTGAGCATCTTCTACTGTTAACCAGGCTTTCTAAGTGTTCTAACAAGTGTATGGTTGCAAAGGAAAAAACAAAAAGGATTAAAATTTCAACAGCAGGTATTGATCAATTTTCCGAATATATACATAGTGCATATCTAATATAAAATGATGAGTATGACAAGGTAACAAAATTTAATATGTGGTTCTTTAGTTACTGTTGGTAAGGGAAGCAATGAAGTGTAACTGTTAGTAAGATCAGGAATTGACGGATTTGTTGTGTCGGTTGATTGAGGTCACCATGGTGATGACAAGATATGTGGAGTGGTTTAGTGAAGCCGCATGGTAGCATGAGTGGGGTGTTGCTTGGCAGGGCTGATCCGTCTATCTTCAGGGTTGAAATCGACACCGGTGGATTGTGTGGATTGGTCAGTGGTTGAATGATGAGGTTGAGGCGTTGAGCTGAACGGTCTGTTGTTGGCGAGGCATCCCATTTTTATTTCTCTGTTTTAACAAGCACTAGCTCCCAGGTTTATCATTTTTTTTTTTTGTGGCAATGTTTATGATTGGCTATCTTATTTTAGATTTTTGTGGGGATTTGTTTTGTGGAATGGATGTGATGTAGGTGTACGAATCCTTCTACTCGGTTTTTCGTTGAATATTAAAATTTGGAGTGTCGGGATTCAATACATTAATAAAATATCGTTACAAGGTCGCTCGTAATTTGGCCGTCTAAAATAATCAAATGCTTTTCATTGAAGGAATAAAATTCAGTAGAAAAGACGACATAGTTTCAACAAATAAACATTGATTTAATATAACGATAGGAATACAAAAAGTTGGAAAGTAATGTCTTTTGTTTGGGTTGATAAAGTTCTGAAATAAAATATAAACTGTCTTTGTGTACGTGTGTGAGAAACAATAAAATGTTGTGATATGTGTGTTTGTATGAAAAAGTCAACATGTATGTGCGTGATTCATAATAAAAACGGATACTAGAGATACGAATTGTTTCTTACTTTTGGCGGTGTTGCCGTGGTCTGGAGTTTGTTAACGCTGTCGTTTTTGACATGAGGTCATAAAGGTCATCAGCGAGAGGTGTGTGTAGTTTGCTGGCAGCCACGTGTATATTGTTTTGGGAACGGATTTCATATGTTTTTATACACTTTTTCCGAACAATATCGGCTCCAGAATTAAATTTTATTTATTCCTAATTGGCCCTAAGAAGTCACATGGTATGTCTTCTATTACGTCCGTACGATATTTGGTCGTTATCTACCTAAAAAGGATGATGACTAATACAACAAACATTCTGATTTGTAATCTATGATTTTATTGGTGTGTTTTAAGATGTAAGTGTTTTCTTAAGTGTGATTGGTTTATAAGTATTGTAGTTGATAATTTAGGCAAAAGGCCCCCTCCAGATCATTAGAAATTTATTTATAATGATATGTAGGAAACAATTATTTAATATCTCAGATATGTTTTGTAATATTTTGGTCAATGCACGTGTCTTCCAGATCTTGTTGTAACATTCTTCTCTGCTATTGTCCCTGGTGAGGTGTCATTTGTTTTGTTGGATGTTTGTTCATTCGTCTTTTGTGTGTTGTCGTGTCCACTAAAATATCAACTACATAGGTAGAGGGTTCTCCAGATTGGGCTGTGTCGAAGGGCAGAGTCTCGTTTCAGGAAACACCTACCCAACACCATTTTATATGGGGTCTACAGGGAATTTTTGGCCAAGTCTACGAGCTTGGATACCCCACATTAAATTTGGCCTTATGCCACATCTGACCATGTAGGGTGGTTAGTAGATATCCTGTAGTTAAAGATTCGTCTCCAGCTGTGCTGGTCAAACTCTGCCTCCGGGCAGAAAAGATCCCCAGACGAGGCTGTGTTGAAGGGCAGAGTCTCGTCTTGGGAAACAGCTACCTGACCCTGTTTCATAGGGGGTCTATGGGAAATGTTTGGCCAAGCCTACGGGCTCAGATATCCCACATTAAATTCAGCCTTGTGCCATATCTAACCATGTGAGGCAGTTGGTAGATATCCTGAAATTGGAGATTCATTGTGGAATTCACTTGACTCACTTCTAGCAGTTGACTACTTCTTCTATGCAGTGCTGGTGAATCTTATATGTGTTGTTCTTGTCCTAAGTATTATCATTCATTACCAAACTTCATTTGATTATTCTATTCAATAACCTTCCCTAAGTTACAACAGTCTTACTTTACCATATGTTGCAGTGTTTAAGGAAAATTTTTTAAAATTTATTTAAATTAAGATTTGGTAAAATGGACAAATTAGAAATACAAATTATAACAAACACATTATTAGAAGATATTCTCTTGATTAATTGTTTTCAGATAGAAACTTTTTTTTATTGAATTTCAGTAATGAAATATGATATCCCGACGGAATGAATATCTTCTTTTATATACCTTGTCCCTTCAGGATGTAGGTGATCATGGCCCTTCACATCTTCCTGTTCCTTGTAGCTTTTAATAAGTTTTGTCTTTTTATTATTTCTCCCAAACTCTGTTATACAATCAAGCCCATCGAGTATGTTACACACTGCTTTCCTCTTTCTACAATACAACTAACAAAGAACTTTTAACATACATCAGTTAAAACAACAAAAAAAAAGGTCTTTTATATGATGGTTTATTATTCTTTCTTATTTGAAACTGTAGTAAAACAAAGTTCTCACTGTCTCTTGGGTATCTCCAATTTCTTTTTGGTCCAGAAGTTAGTATAAGTAAGTATAAGCATCCTTGTGTAGAGTTGGAACAATAAAAGTTTGTACTTTATCATTGGGAAGTGGGAAGAGAAATCAGTCTTCAGTAGACCAGGCAAAGTAATGTTCCCCAAATTACCACATTGTACAACATCTTGGAGCAAGGGAGAGAAAGAGAGCAAGGCAGGAAAATGTTTGTCTTTTTATAAACTTAACCAGGGCTGTCTAACGGAATTTGATGGAACCAATTGGAGTAATCATATTTCAAGTTCTTTATTTTCCTAAAAAAAAAAAAAAAAAAAAAAAACCGCTAGAGGGTGCTCTTTGAGTCTAGAAATAAGCAGTGACATTCTCTTTTTCCTATTTCACACATAAATGGTTAAGTCGAATGAAGAAAACACTTCCTCCACTGGGGAATGCACATACGCACGCATGCACATATGCAACTTTCACTTCATTTTTCTAGGACTTTCTTCTACACACATTTTATACACACTGTAGTGGGGTCGTGGCGGTTACGGTTTGTTGAGGGTTCATGGCGTGGCTGTTATGTTGTTGATAGAAGTCAGACGTAGAAGAAACGCAAGGTTCAGATACTCCTGCCCGCCGAGCCCAACTACATAAAAAGGTTGGACTTTGATTAAGTCCAAAGAAGAAGGCAAAGAAAGCAAACAAAACACAAGATCGATAATATATGTATACATACACAAATTCAAATATATATTCATAACAAGTTACAATACAGGGAAACAGTACAAAGGACGAAGTGTGTGTGTGAATATTCTGTATGTGCGTGCGTGTGTGAATATTCAGTGTGTGCGTGCGTGTGTGTATATTGTGCTTAGCGTGATTTCACGCTATTCCTTGTTAGCGACTACATTTCGAGGTTGATAGTTGAAATCCTCTAGGAATAAGAGAAATTTACCTCGAGGTGTTGGTGCACAGGCCAGGAAAGAGAGACCCCTGGTGAAAGGGTTACGGACTGAAGGAAGAGTTAACTCCGACAACACAAACAATTCACTAGTTTAAATGTTCATTGCTTTGTAACACATACCATTGTTTTTTTAATACATAATTATCGTTTGTTTCTATATATAGTTTTGTTCTTGATTTGTTCATCTATTACTCAGACTCACATTCTAGTCCGCCATTTTTGCTGTGAGATAAATATACCAGGAGACATGTGTTTTCCAACCTCAACACTCAACCAGCACACATACTGAAACAACTCTTAAAAGTATTTTTTCTTTTATTATTCATTATTTTATTTATTGATTTTATTTCATTTTCCCACATATCAGGCGATCATGTATATTTCGATACATGACTAACGAGGCAGATTTTTTTCCTGCAGTAGGTTTCCATTTCTTTCTGTGGTAGATCAGTTGCCATCCAAAGCTATAGAATCCAGTCTGTCCTGCTATTTACCCATAGCTAGGGGGAGAAGAAGAGGATTCATACCTTTCCCAAGGGTATTAGCACATAAGTGAATGTAATGGATTCCCACAAATACTAACTTCAAATAAACTTTAACTGAGTTAAATTTATGGAGAAAGAGAAAAATTAAGTATCATTTATAATGCATATCAAGTTATTAATTTGTAAATTTTCAGATTATAAGTTTGTATAAGTAATTCAAAATATAATCTTCAAATAAAACCGGCTTTTGTTTTTAGGGGATTTTAGAACTTTGATAATATAATTATTCAATTTGAATTTTTATATTACATATTACTGTATGCATTATAGTGTTTTAATAAATTAGCACAATTTTTTGTGAATTTAGTGTTGAAATAGCACAATTTTTAACCAAAGTTGTGAAGATTCTGGTTTTTAATGCATTTTTGATTGAGATTTCTAATTAAATTTTCTCAGATATATGTAAAGGCTAAGAATTTAAGATATAGTGACAGCTATTATCTCACTGAGCCGCAACTATCTTGCTTTCTGCAAAGCTGACTTGAGAAAAAGATGAAAAATTAGTAATAAACCCGTATTTAAATTCCTGGCTACCGACGGGGCATGGATTTGCGCATGTCCAAACAACAAGGGAGATAACTCTAATTTAATTCTTCGTTTGAAACAGAAGAATACAAGATAGAATCATGCGGCCGCTCACAGATCAGGAATGTAAAGTTTTTTTCGAAAAATTATCAAAATAGTAAGTTTCTTTTATGTTTTAAGTATATTTTTGATGTTTCTGTTTTAACTTTTGCTACCTTTACTCATTATTTTGCCCTTTTAATCATTATTGCTGTCTCCTTTTTTAATTCTTCACACAGGTTTTAATTTTTTTAGCTACACACGTGTTCATTTTTTTTTATTTTTACTATAAGTGATTAAAAATTGTTTAATAAAGTTTTGTTTTAAAATTAAGAAAATAAAATTTACAATGTATAAATTTTTAATCTACACTCGAATTACTAATTTTACAATTAAATTAATCGTTTTAAGTTATATTCGCAAAGAATGTTTTACTTTTTAACTAGTTTTGTTTTCCAGTAATCGACTTTTTAAACTAAAGAAACTTGTTTTATTTTTTATAACTCTTTAAAAATGTAATTTCATTTTTTTTTTTTTTTTTAAATATTTCTGATAGAAAAATATAATACTTTACTCAGGATAAACATTCACGATTTTCTTTTTTTTTAATTTTTCATTAAAATTGTTAATGAATGAGAAAATAATGTTGTTTTCACTTTTCATGTTGTCGGACATACGACGAGAAATAATTTGATTGCCAAAAAACTGCTTTTTTGATGTCGCTATTTTTAAAAAAAAATTTTGCATAGAAAAATAAAACCTGAAGTGGTTCGATGTGGCAAATGAATCAATCACCGAACGATTCCATCAAATTTTGAGAAGCAAATAAGTTCTAAATTTTAAGACAAAAACCTACTTAAAAAAAATAACATTTTCAGAATCAATCACAGATCGAAAAATGTACAGCTTTTGCGAGAGGAAAGGTAAAAAAAAAAAATCCTTTCAATTAATAATGGGCAAATATTACCAAATCTAAAAAACAATTCAAGTTCTATACTGACTGTACGCTTGCATTTCAAGAATAAATCACGTGGTTTTACAAAATAAATTTAAAAAAGATAACACACCTCTCACGTCAACTTCAAATATCACAAACAACCGATATCTATTGATAAAATAGCGGTCGTTTCTAGTGACATGCTCTTATTTCCAACTAAATTTTTTCTGCTTAAAAATTAAGTAATGTTTATTTCAAATTACATTAAGTATACTTTAAATTTTCTTTTTTTTCCTAAAATAACTTGAAAAAAGTATAATTGAATTTTACTAGATTTTTAAACGGAGAATTTCACTTTTGTTTACAAAGTTGTCAAAAATGGCTCACATGACGATTATGTAAATTTTGTTGACTTAAAGAAAATAAGATTTTGGTAAATTTTCATTTCAACACCCGAGCGCTATTATCCCTTCAAATTTTTCCAAAATATTATTATTTCCGTGCAAGTGTATATGCTGAACTCAAATCAACAATTAGATATTGAAGAAACCTACCTTTTTGGATGTTAACAACCAGAAAAAAATCGAACTTCTTCTCGCTCTTTTTGTCATCCCTTACTGGCTTATTGAGAGACATTTGCTCTTGAACCATTTCGCGCACTTATACAATTTTGGCCTATTTACTCCCTTAAAGAAATTAGTATGCGCGTTTTTCTTTTTAAAGTTAACTTTCTCTGTTTTTATTATTTGTACTTAATTTAAGAAGAAAGTTAACATTCAAATATAAGTGATAAGTGTAGTTTTTACTTAATTTTTTAAGAAGTTAACTTTCAAATATATGAAAATATCGACAAATAAAAGAATAACAAAGTAATTTTTTTTAACCTTCAAATATTTGAAGATATGAAAATACTTATAAATTATAGATAACAAAAAGAACAAAATAAGTTGTACAGTAAAGCATTTTTTTTAATATTTAACATTGAAAATAAAACAATAATTAAATCAATTGTAAAAGAGGAAGTTAAAAGTTTCATATCTATGGAAAAAATGACATTGACAATTAAAAACAAAATGCTATAAAGGAGATACTTCACTTACAAATATACATGAAAATTATAGATGTCTATAATGGAGTAATTTTAGGGTCCTGGATACAATCTGCTCGCCTCTCTCAGGAAAACGTGAAGGTGCTGACTATGTTTAGGGACTGCTTTTAAGAATAAAAAAAACGAGCAATGTATTGTTTTAAATAAGCAGTTCTGTGTCCTGATCTTTTAATTATACCCTTAGTCATCCTCCATAGTGTTTCAACCATCTGCGTACGGATATTTTGGTCTGTTCGATCTACAAAGTGTTCAGAATGGTTGATTTGTTTGTGCGTGTACCCATGTTCTGTTATCCGCACATACGCCGACCAGCAATCACTGTAAATGATTGATCCTGGTCAGATATGTTGCATAATCAAGGGAACAAGGGTATGGGTATCCCTGGCTTCTCCTTCCTCGCAATCAGATGTAAGTGGTACCATGAAGGTCTTCTTCGAGATTCTTTCGATTCCGCCAAATAGCCAGACCGTTTTCATTCAACGTCCCCGGTTATATTTTCGCCTTGAGATAACTGTTTCGTCGATTTCTACCTCAACACCGGGTCCACCCAACTTCTGCACATTTTCAAAACAACAAGAAAGAAAATAAATTTCTCACAGCTACTTTCTCATGCATGTGCTAATGTATTGCACTTTATATACTGTACACCCGCCAAGTGGTTACTTTTAGAAGTAATACGACTTGTTATACTAAGACTGCAATTTTGAAATATATTGCTGACAATTTGTAAGTCTTTTGGTTTTTTTTCTTGCAAATTTCTTTTTATTTTGCCTGCAGATTTTGTCTGTTGCATCCAAAGTTCGTTGATTGGGAGGTCTGTAGATGATAGATTTGTCTGTAATATTAATAATACAGCAATGCTAAAGGTTAAGAAATACCACTATCTTCCTATTTATTGCAATCCAAATTAACACATATCTCAACACAACTATAGTAAAAAAAAATAAAAAAAAAATAAAAAAGTTTATAACCAGTATTATAAGCAAGCTTAAGGGTCTTTTGGCTGCAGCCTATACTAGCCTATAAGGATAATTTAAAAATAGTCACACATCAATATAGAATTAACTTTATAGTTCAGGGTTTTTCCTTTACTTACCATAATAGTGGCAAATATGTAAGTTAAAAAAAAAATCATCTTTTCTTTTTGATTGCTAATTTTTTAAAATTCTTTTTTGTGTTTAGCATTGGCGAGAACATAAAACAACTTCTAGAACGTCAAGATGGAAAATATTGTTTTCGATTTCATAAAGACAGAGTTTATTATTGCAAGTAAGTAATAGCTAAATAAATATTTAAAAAGCTTCTTTCATACGTGTTTAAGAAATTGAATGATATTTTTGATTTTTACAGTAACTACTGAAGAGTATCAGTTGGATTATGACTCTCAATGGTTTCCTTTTCTTTATCTGTGAAGTGTGATGCCTTTGTGATTTCCTGTTGCCTTCTGGTTTGGAATTCAATTTTCTTTCTCTTAGACTGATTTGCCACTCAAGCTATTTAACCCATAGCTGGTGGGGAAAAAGATTAGTTCATGCCTTTCTCAAAGGCATTAGTGCAAAAGTGTATGTAGCAGACAATTCCAGAATCTGAACTTGGCTTACTGATTCTACTTTTTGTAGATATCCATTACACAACCCGCAAATCCTTAACCAATGATAAATGGAAGATTTTTTTTAAATTGATACTCGTAAATGAAGATTTGTTGGAATAAGATTTATTATTAATGTTTGGTGATATGTTTTGTGTTTTATCCTTTTTACAGCAAGTTAGCCATTTTATTATGCTCTTTTTGTTGTAAGAATGTAAAAAAAATACCAATTATTTATGAAGAATGCAAAAAATACCAATTTCTATTTGTTTTTCATGTTCAGTCATTGATTTTCTTTTTTTTTTTCTTTTAATCATTTCACTCCAATGTTACTGAGTGTGAAGAAATGTGAGAAAAAAAAATCATAATTAAGGAGAGAGAGAAAAAAAACAGGAATTAAGAAGACAAAAGATAATGATTGACATTGCATTTCAATTTTTTAAGATCAAAGTTAACTGAAAAGCAAAGAGTGAAAGAGAATGAAAAGATGTTAGAAGGAACCAGAAACCCAATTCTAAAACAGGAAACAAGGGAAAAACTTCTACTCCTGTTCAAAAGACCAGGGAGGAGTGTGAACTGGGTTATAGGCAGACCTATTTACTCCTATTGAGAAAAAATAAATAGTAAATAAAACTTCAGAGTTTAGGCGGAAATGTTAGAAGTATAGAGTTAAAGTAGAATTTAGAAGGAACTGGAAACTGAATCCTAAACAGGAAAGAAGAGATAAACCTCTACTCCTATTCAAAGGGCCAGGGAGATGTGTGAACTGGATAATAGGAAAAGCTAAATAATACTTAACCAAATTAACCTGCAAAAGGTTGATAAACCTTAAAAAAACAAATCAATCAATAAATAAAGTTTTCACCAAATTTAAAAAAAAAAAAAGCAAAAAGTTTTAATTCTTGACATAACAGATTTGTTTGCCAGGTTTTGTGTGCAAAATCTACAAATGTTAAATCTAATTAAAATAACTTAAAGCAGGTTTTCACAAAGTGGGGTTTGTATAGACCACTGGAGAGGGAGTAAAATGTTGACAGGGGTGAATTTGGACTGACACAACTTTGAAATGTGCCCTCTAAAGCAGGGGTCGGCAACTCATTCCCCCCCGAGCCGGATCGTGTTATAATGACGAGTTGCGGGCCGGATGAAGGCCATTAATGAAAAATTAAGGAAAATTACATATGCAGACCCCTGTCAACCTAAATATTTAAAACCATAATGAAAATAAACATTGAGAAATCAGAAAAACAAAAAGAAAATCTAAAATTAAAAAAATTCCTAACAAAATTTACTTTTCCTCAAGGAACGTCAAAATACTTCAAAGTGAAAAAAATTAACCAAAGTGAAATGGATGAAATTATGACATGTAGGTTTGAAACTGTTAATGAAAATTGTTCCACAAACGAACCACACACACACACATCAAACAAAAACAAAGCACATATACCCATACATATGAGTACAAATAGTTGCAAACATATACACTTACGTACGTACATATGCGCTATGTTCCACACATTCATGAGGCATGTATGTATAATGCTCGTATGTTTAACTGTCTTTAGATCTCTGCTACCTCGCATGTCAGTCCCTCCCTGGCCTCTTTCAGTTTATCGTTCCTTTTGCTTCTGTTATCTTTTAATGTAGCCAAGGGTCATAACAAATATGAAAGCCTCGTCTCTCATGCTAAAAATAGTCATTGGTAATCAGGCTCACTGGCCGGTCAAAATGTCTTCGCGGGCCATAAGTTGCCGACCCTTGCTCTAAAGTGATGAGAGCATGTTCTGCTTTCATATTACAAGTAAGGGTCATTTGTATGGTGAATAGATGGTATTCTTAAAGTGGTCCATATATGGAGACAAATCAAAATTTTGAGAAGGGAGCAATAAAAGTAGATTTTCAGTATTTTGCAAATTTGTCCTTAAGAGAAATCAGAAGAAATTGTTTTGGAATAAGATTTGTTTATCTATATAGGTGACATTAAGAATTTTACAGAAGATTTTAAGGGTCTCTTAAATATGGAAATTCCTGATGTTGAATTATGAAGTGTAAATATTTTTTTGTGGTGAATTCTTAAGTGAAGCCTTTTCACAAAAAAAAAAAAAAAAAACTAGCTAAAAATCCCAAGCTTTGTTCAGCCTATTTTACTTGCTTTTCCTAATCTGTATATGGTGGAATCTGATTTTAGTCATATGCATTATTTATTAAAGAAATAGGGAAGTATATACACTATTTACATTATCCAGACTATTGTCCTCATCTTTGTCGCCATATTTATTACGTTTTGGCCATTGTATGCTCCGGCCTTCCTCAAGGACACATGGCACAGTGGATAAAGGTGTTGTTTAGATCCAGCGACAGGACCCAAAGAGTGTGAGTTCAATACCCAGTTAAGGCAGTGGAGAACTTTCAGAGGGAAATTAACAGGAGATAACTGACATCCATTAGACGTGGAACTAGAACAGTCTACCCCAGTGAGTGAAATAAAGGGTGCAGTTTGACATTCCAACCACCTGAAGAAGGCCGGAGTGTACAATGGCTGAAATGTTGTAATAATTATGGTGACAAAGATGAGGACAATAGTCCGAATAATGTAAATAGTGTAAATAGAGAAGTACTTTGAACATAGAACGTTGTGATTTGAGGCACAAAGCTGTATTTTAGTTTCTCTTCATCTTTTTTCTTCAACCATTAAAGGTGCATTTGCATTTTATTTTTTATTTTTCTCCACTGGTGGAAATATTTTATTGTCTGTTTTTTGTTTTTTCTCTCACCCTACCCGCATGTAAATATTTTGTTTGTACTGTTTTTTTTTCTACCAATCCCCACCTCTCTCTGAGAAGCCCTGAATTAACAGAAACCAATTCTCTAAAAAAAAAAAAAAGTTGACTTTTATTAAAAGAATTTTAGTTTGCTATTGTTTAAAGAAATAGTCTTGTGACCATTGTATTTGCTTGGTAAAAATAAACTTTCTCAATAAAAATTGAATTTAACATTACATGACACTTATGTCAGTTTAAGAGAAAAAAAAATTCTATATTTCATATTCATTTTATTTCTTTATGTTTTTTTTTTTTTTTTTTTTCTCTCTCTAGGGAACAACTGATGAAAAAGGCTGGACATATTTCAAGGGATCATTTATTAAGCTTTGGTACTTGTTTTGGCAAGTTTACCAAAACTGGTAAATTTCGTCTTCATGTTACAGCCTTAGACTTTTTGGCACCGTATGCAAAGGTAATTAATAATTTAATTAAAAAAAAAAAATGTTTCATATTTACTGGTGGTGGCATTGGGAGTTAAGCAGCTAAAGAATTTTGATAATGAAAATTTCAACTGACAATCTTTTCCAAAATTCAAACTTCCTCTGCTTTGAAGTAACAAACTTTCCTGAATCTTTATATTGCCTAATGATGAAAAAATGTCTATTTTGCACAAAAAATATTTTTCTTCCTGATGTTATCGAACTGGATCGAGGTCGATCCCAGCATGCAGCACCTTTGGAAAGTGCCTAAAAACCATGCCGCGGTTGACCCAAGCCTTGTGAGTGAAATTGGGTAGGCGGAAACCTTGAGGGTCATTGATAGCTGTGCTAGCATGAAGTCATAAGTCATCGTGGCCGAGGACTTGAGCATGCTGTCCTTGTTCAAATTGTTGATCATACTAGGTAACATGCTTTTTCCCAGAGACTGTAACTAAGGTCTGTTCAGCATAGTTGCAGGTGGGCTCTCTGGGTGTTGAATAAACACAAATGCACTTGAGCAAGTGTCTGCAATAGGGATTATCTTGCTGCCCTAGTAGACAAATGGTACCCTCAAATACAAGTGGCCAGCTATATATATATATATATATATATTCTATATGCACAGTACTTAGAAAGTGCCCAATATATTCAGTTGTATGGATATGAGGTTGTGACCCTGTGTTTCACACTTTTGCAATCATCAAACTAAAATTTATCAAAGATAAAAAAAAATTTTACACTTTGTTTCATCATTTTTGTTTTGGATATTATATATCAAGTCAACTCTGTGACATAATTTTTCAATCACTTAGGTGGGTTCTCCACAAAAAAAAACAAAAAAGAAACGGTAAATGGATTGTTCTAAGATTATATATACACCATTATTCTGGTTCCAAACTAGGCAATGAATAATTTCTTGAATGTTGGCACTTAAAAATAACCCCTCTGACTTGCCATTTAACAATTTTATGTATCTCCAGACATATTGCAATTACCAGAGCTTATCTTCCATGCAATGCGAACAAAATCTGACACTGACTGACCTTTTTCATTTTCACCTAAATCTTTACATTACTCTGATTTTTCTAAGTCAGTGGGTCCCAAGCATTTTTCTTTGGGATACATTTTTGGAATGAAAATTTGCTCATGCCTCACTAAATTTTATGTGATAAAAATACATTTAAAAATAAAAAACAGGGATAAGGTTAAAGGGAGATAAACATGGATTTGAAGCCAGAACATTATCATTGATAATGCTCTCTGCCAACTTGCAGAGCCTAGTTACTATATTTTTAATACATGATATAATTAAAAAATATCACAGTGATACAATCGGTCAGTAATTATTTATAACTATTTATACTCGGACTCAGGCATACAATTACAAGTAATCCATAATAACATTTTAAATTTTGAAATCATATTTATTTTTGGCATATGAATTTTTGGAAACTGTTTCTAAATCTTTGATTGTCTTTCAATCATTCTGCCTAATTGGCTATTCTCTTCCAGCATGCTGCACCATTTTGGAATCATTACTCTAAGGCATTAAGCACTTATATTACTTTTGACATTTTAGGGCATAAAAATTCCTTTAGTTGTTATTTATTTGAAACTGTCTGATAAAGACCCTCTTAATAATCCTGTTTCTTGCAGCCTGAAAGGTGACTTGTGGATGATGTATTCATTAAGTTTAATTCTATCTCGGATAACAAATAGAAAAAGCTTTATAAATTTAACATGTTTTGCTGTTTGTTTAGCTTTGTCAGAAATTTTGGAAGTGGAATAATGTGCAGTTGTTTTTAATTGTTTAATTCTATATATATATATATATATATATATATATATATATATATATATATATATATATTTTTTTACATTGGCTGTATATTCTTCTGTTCATTTTATTGGCATCAGTATGTATGTATCTATCAATCAAAAAAATATTTTCACAGGACTACACAATTTGATGAGAGCAATAAAAGCAGACGTTAAAAAGCAATTCATAACAACGGCAAAAGATCAATATTATTGTAAATGGTAATACTGAAATATAACAAGAATAATAATAAAAAACAGGTTAAACTGTTTATCAGTCGTCTCTCATCAGAGCCAAATTGTGAAGAAAAATGTGCGCACCAAATTTAAAAAAAAAAAAAAAGAATGCGAACACAGACAAATGTTATATGTAAGAAAATATAACACTAAAAGCTTAATACCTTTAACCATTACCCCACTAAATTCTTTCTAGAATTGTTTCTCCGCCACTGCTTTTTTTTTTTTTTTTTGAGGGCTCAAAAAACATGAACACCTACTGTTTTAAAATTGTTATAACTTTCTTTTGTATTGTGTGTATTTTTTGCATACTAATAAAAGAATGGATGAGTAATATTTTATGTAATGCATTACATTTTGCACACATGTTTTGACAATGAAAACAAAAAAAAAATAAGTCAAATACATTAACAATTTAACATACTTTAGCTTTTATTACTCCTTGTGAAGTTCTGGGGTGCAATAAGAAGCAAAATGGCTAAGAAAGCTTTTGATTCATCAAAAGTCAAGTGCTTCCTATTGTTTATATACGAGAAGAATTTATTTGGTCTTTCTTTCACTTGACTAGCATATTTATTTGTATCTCTGACAAATAAAATTATTATTTCAGCGTTTATAAATAGATTAAATAATTCACCTTCAGAAAGGCTATCAAGTACATCCATGGAGCCAGTAGCTTCCATAAAATTAGTCAACCATGGATGATGGTAGCCACTTGGTAACTAGTGGTCATCATCGTTTTCCTCGCCATCACTTGGGTAGTTATCATCTTTGACCACCATCAATATCCACTTGAGTAAAATCTTCAAAATCATCATTGGAGTTCAATTCCTGTTAGGTTCATTATATTCACTTATGCATGAATACCCTTGGGAAAGGGATGAATCCACCTCTTTTCCCCTAGCTATGGATTAATTAGTAACAATCGTATCATGAAACCATTATTATCTTAAAAAAAATTCTTACAATCTAAAAATATTTTCTGGCTTTAAATAACCTGCACAGATAAGTCGTAGAAAAGGAAATAATCAACCAAGCATCAATGCCTCTGTGTAAATTAACCACCTTTCACTTGTGAGTATTGGGTGCTATGTGTATTAGTTAACATAATTGAAGTGTGCAAAGAAAGGAGGGGTATTGTATGATGCTCATCTGACATCTACGCAACAAGAATTGATGGGTAGTTATATGGTCTCGTCTAAAGTGTTGTGCGAGATGATACATCCATGGGCGAATGGTTTGAAATCACAGAGATTCATAGTACTGTGTCCCAGTCTTGTGTGTGTTCAAACCATTGTGTACTAAACCCAAGGCTCCATTAATTTCTGTTGCGACTTGAAGTAGCTGGGGCCTAATTCCTTTCTTTGAGATGACATGAGGTGAATTTATTTTTTAAGTAATCTCCCTCTAGCCTTTTACCTAAAGAGACAGGGCCTACATGGCAGCAGGTGGTTTAAATTCAGTTACCTTCTCATAGACTGGCTGCCACTCAAGGCTATAGGACCTAGTCTTTCTTGCTATAATACCACTAGCTGGGGGTGGCGGGAAGAGATAGATTCATAAATTTCCCAAGGGTATAAGCACATAAATGAATTTAATGAACTCGTTTAGAATTCAAACACGTCTCTCTGATTCCTTAATCTGAGGTGCTAACCATTAGGCCACTATGCCTCTAAGGGGTAGATAGATCGTAATGCCATAAAATAAACTTGTACACAGTCAATGAAAACAAAACAAAATAGAATTTTAAAAAAATGAAACACTCTGTATTACTCTATTTCCAAAATTTCTGATGATGGTAAATAAATCTCGAAATGTTAAATTTATAAAGCTCTCTTATTTTTTCCTCATTTAAACATTTTGTCGGGTTTAAATGATTTATGATTTTGAATGAAGACTACAAAGAATTTTCAGCTGATGAGAAAAATAAGGTCCTTCATTAAAAATAAACATTTTCTTTGTGGCCATGACAATGTTAAATGTTGCTTGAATATTTTTTCCCTCTTTCTGATTATTTCAGTTCAAAATATGGCTAAAGCCTAATGCTGAACAACAGTTTTTGTATGGAAACCATGTGATGAAAGCAGGTCTTGGAAGAATTACTGAAGGGACGCCACAATTTCAAGGAGTGGTTATTTACAGCATGAGTGATCTCCCTTTGGTAAGTTGGTGACTTGAATTTTATAATTGCCACACTAATTAAAAAAAATTCCTTAAGTATATAAAAACATTCAAAATCAACATGCGGAGAAAAAAACACCAAGCATAATGTCTACTATACACACACACAAAATCATGTAAATCCCACATAGATAAACTCAAATTATTATACATTTACATACATAAATTGATATTTACACTTTTTTGGTTTGGTTAATTTGTTAGTTTCTTGGAACTTCAAAAGGAACACATCATCTCTCCTTGAATTTGGAATGCCATAAATTATACTAATGTTTGTTTAACAAGTTGAATGCACATGAAACCTGATTAAACAATAAAAATCAAAGCACACAAAAGAAAAAATACTAGTATTTCTTTCCTTTTCTCTATATCTCATTCTTTGATGAAGCTTTAATAATAGTGAAACATGTTAGATTAATAAACGTTTCTTATTTGTTTATCTTATGACTTTAATTTCCAAAAGGGAGTTTTATAAGCTTTTGACTCTTATATAAAAGAAATTATTACACATGGGCAGTCTTTCTCATTGATTCTGACTGCAAGAGGCTAAGTGCTCCCATTGAAGCAGAGATTCTGCAATTGTAATGTCAAGTAGAATGCTTACTTATTTTGCAATGAGGAGTTATCGTTATTTACACTATTTTTATTTGGACTATTATCCTCATCTTTGTTGTAATTATCACAACGTTTCGGTCATTGTACCCTCTAGCCCTCCTCAGGTGTATATCGATCTGAGTAATTTACAGGGAACTCTGAACTAAACTCTTTATTTAATCTACACCATTGCTCGTGCCAAGGGATATCTCGTTTAGTGCTTATTTTTATTTTAGTGCTCTTCAGTTATTGCTTGCCTGTTTCCACTGAGTGCTAGTACTCACTGCCTGACTCAGGGATTGATCTCACATCCACTCTTTTACAAACTTTATGAACCAACACTTTTAACCACTAGAGCCAAATAAAGGGTTCAGTTCAGAATTTCTGAGTGTATATATGACCTTACAGTTGACATTGAGTGCTATTCCTTTTAATTTTCCCACAACCAATAAAAACATAAGTATTGATTTAAAAAAAAAAAAAAAAAAAATCCTCTGCCTACTTTTCTTGACTTTTTTTTTTTTTTTTTTTCTCCAGGGCTTTGGGGTTGCTGCAAAATCAACTCAAGAATGCAGACATGCTGACCCCATGGCCACAATAGCATTTCACCAGGCGGACATTGGAGAATATCTGAGAAATGAGGAAAAAATTACTTAGTTTTCAAGGAATTTAAAATAAATTAAAATCTTTTTATATAAAAATATCTCATTTTATTTCTTTTGTTTTTCAATGTAAAAAGTGACATTCTGTTAGGAAATTTTAATTCCTTTTTTTTTTTTTTTTTTTTTTTTTCAGCATGGCTGGTGGTAAAATTAGAAGCACTTTTGGGGAATTTAGACACTTCACTGTTAATCAGGGTTTCAGGAACCTCCCCCCCCCCACCACCATTTTTTTTAAATGCAGAATGTTAAAATTTTGTTTTAAGATTCCTCTTAAGTATAAATTAACATTAAAGTAGTTCTATAATTGAACTTAAGATCATTCAAGGTACTCTAAAACCAAAAATATCCATTGGGTTATGCTGGGCAATCCTATTGTGAACTTGTCTCTCTCTTGCTGTAAAGAAAGGCAGAAATATTTTAACACATTAATCATTCTCTCACACTTAATTACTTGCTGCCCAATTGTTACAGACTTTCATTAATATGTTGCATAGGTAACAATATGATTTCTCACACATCCTTAGGAGATAGATTCTTTTTTCCTATTAAGTCAATTTAATGACCAGAGTTTTCAGGAACCCTGCCTCCAGCCCACATTTGAATTGGCAAACAAAATTTTGTTATTGATTTTAGATAATCATAAAAGTAGAGTCCTTTTAAAAACTGACCAATCAAAAACGAAGGGGTGGTCTCCTTTTCTAGAACACAATTAGATGGATATGGGTGGTGGGACCCCAGCCAGTGCTCATATAATGAGCAGTGGGGGAGGGACAAGAAATCATATTGAGTCGGCAGTCGCCAAGATCAGGCAGTAAATGTAAGGGTTCTTTTTCTGTGGCTGGAAGTTAGTAAGGTAGCAGTTCACCTTGAAGCTGAAGCTAAAAATTGCCAGTTAAGTGAGAAATTGTATTGTTTGCTATTTCTTAATCAATATCTTGAAAAGCATTTATTTTTCTTTGTTGAATTCAATCATGGCCAAATCTGTGAACATAGCAAGTTGGGTGTATATGTATACACAGCCGACCTTGGATGTCATCAGAGTTGTGCAGTGACTGACGTGCGGAATGTGTCATCACATATATCTACTCATTACCAAGAGCATTATTAGTGTTGTCATGAAGTTTCTTTTAACTTCATCAAAGCAGTTTCGTTTTAAATATATATGTGAGGTGGAGGCAACAGAGCTCACGACGTCTCTTAGGAATCTTATAGCCCCATAAGAGGTGAACTAGTTTGGTGTATGGGAGTGGAAATACTGAGAGTCAGTTTAGAAGGATGGGGTAGATGTGTGAGGCACAAACTTTTGCCCTCCCCTTTAAGGAAAGCCTCCACTGGAAGCACAGATGAACTGCAGCCTCGACCTTTTCCCAGACTTCCAACCAATTCTCTTTCAAATGGAGGTCAGGGCCAAACTAGACACCAAGTATCTTGAGAGGCCTGTCCGTCCAAGTGAAGGGCTCAAGAAGAGAGACTCCATTCCATGCATCCATCCACAGACTTGTCACGGTTTATCTTGAATCCTGTTACCGTCTCATACCTGCTGGTTTCCCTGCCATCTTTGTCATTCCCGGCTTTGTTTTTCACAAACGCGTTCGTGTTGTCGACATAGGCGGAATACCTGGGCGGGTTGTTCGCACCAGGTACTGTAATTCCATGTAGGACTGGATTTGCCTTTAACTCGAGAGGGAAGGGTTCCAACGCAAGAATGTACTGCATCGGCGAAAACAGACAGCCCTCATGGACTGATGTGGACAGCATGAAAGGTTTCGACCTTTACTCCATTTACTTACACCAACGCATCAGAGGTCGGGGGGCAATATAAGGGACGGATTCAGGATCTAAAGTTCGAACCGAAGCCGGCCGATTCGAGTGTAGCACAGAGAAATTGATAGTCACCCCTACCAAATGCCTTGGACTGATCTAAATTGATTAGCGCGGCTTCACTCTCAACTTGTTCTCACTTCAAGCATACCATATGAAGGTTCTGAATAGTCCTATCCTTCATAGTACAACGGTTTGCAGGCTGTCTTGCCTAGTTTGATTGGCTCTGATCAGGTGCTCGGGGGCAATCAAACCAGGCAGGACAGTCTGCAAACTGTTGGCTAAGACCTTGACCAAAATCTTTAACTCCGTATTCAACATGGTTAAGGGCTGGAAATTGTTAATCTCATCCTTTCCGTGTTTATTCTTGCAAAGCAACTTGACCACACCTCTGGTGAAGCATTCTGGAATATTCCCATTTTTCATCCATTGGTTAAAAACCTGTGCCAGCAAGGGTGGGGAACAAACGCATGCGACTGTTTCAAATACACCTCAGGATAGATCATCGATACACGGTGTCTTGATTCTGCCGACAAGCTTCAACCCATCTTAGATTTCCGCCTCTGTTATCAGACCCCCGCACCTAGTCATCTCGAGGCAAGGAAAGTCAGTTAAATAGGTGTTGAAATGAGCTGGCAAAAAGAGCCTGAAAATAAGGTCGGAAAGCCTCATATATGCCATCGTTTGTAGTCATGGTACATCCATCCGGTAATGCGACGCTAGCGATACTCCGAACTTCTTCAGCTCGCAATTCAGCAGCCATATTTGTTGCCTTTTTAATCTAGCTCTAACTACCAGAGCCTGGTCCTTCTTTATAAGCTGAAGCTATTTCTCCACTATCACCCGATTTTATAGTCCTTTTTACACAAGATTCTTGTGTCATTTGCTTTGCTAGTCTATTTTAGTTGAGCCGCTTACTATAATCAGCAGCAAATAACCTAAAGGCGTCCTTAAGGTGAACCCATCACTTGTTCCCAACCACAACCCACGTCAATTCCCGCATTAGAGTTAGTAAAAACTAGTCCTGAAATCCTTCTCATCGAACAACGATGTGTTGAATTTCCAGCCATGGTTTATCTAATCCTTGGTTTATCTAAGTTTAGACGCACCCTGTTCGAACTATGGAATGAAGACTTGGACAGCCTAAAAGCCCTAAGTCGACTCTTCTAACTAAAACTCGCCCAATGTAGCTTTTATGCAACACCGAAACCGAGCCACTCCTATTAGTCCAAGTCCGCTCTACCTCTGCTCATTCCTGAACTTACTGACAAGATCCAGTCTACCGATAAAGTTCTGATATGGCTTTACATCCAGATTGTTGGTACTCAATGTAGTGTTCGTGTGATCTGTATCGGAATCGAGGACGCCATTCCAGTCACTCGCTAAAATGACCTGCTGACACAAAGCCTGCCCGCCGGATACGTGAAAAAAAAAAGCATACACAAAGCCTTCAAAGAATGGCTTACCAGCCAAGAAACGCTCAGAGAGCGGCTGTCATACACTCAGAATGGGGTCAGGCCATGTGCGTTGTGTTTTTGCTCGACTATTTATATATACCCGTCAGTAATGCAATGTGGGTAATCTGTTCTAACTTATATTAACGGGCGGTAATGGTTCTGTTTCGAATTATTCAAGAGGCAATTGAGTGGGGATAATTGGATCGAATGCAGTTTTTTGGCTATTTATAGTGTTGATTGTTAATTTTTTTATGCATTTATTATTTTTTATTTTATTGCTGGTTATTATTTTTGCGTTTTTTTGTGCTTATCTGTGTACGTGGTTCGTTAATTTGTTTATTATTTACTTAGTTTATTTATTTGTTTTTTATTAATTTATTTTACTTGTTTTTGTTTATTTATTTTTATTTATTTATTTTCGTTTATTCTTGTTTGTTTTCAGTTTTCAGTTTTTAAATAACGTAATAAAAAATTGTTTTCGTGTCCGCATTTTGAAATGAGTTCTGATCGTTTATTTAGTAGCTTGTTTTGTATGTATGCAATACACGCGCACACACACATATATGTATATATAATGTGTGCATGTCTTGAATCAGAATCAGATTCACTGACAGAATAGTAAAACAATTTACAGAAATGTTGTAAAGTTCTGCCGGAGTAAATGTTCACTCACCCGGCAAAAAACAACTTTGTGGTCATCTACCTTCCGAATCATTTAGGAGTGACGAACAAGATTTATTAAGCTTTTCTGGAGAAGTAAGGATGAGCTGATCAGTGACATCCTCTTCTTCTTCTTAGGCCGTGTCTCTTCAGGGTGTAGGCGATCATTGCTCTCCACAATTTCCTGTCCTTCATAACTCAATAAATTTTCTAAACATTATTCAGCCATCCATTTACTCAAGCTTACAAAGTATGTTATGTTTCTGTCCCCCTTGCCCACAATATAATGATTTTTCTAAGCTATGCTTAAAAGGGCTGAATATATAGGGCACCCAGTGAGGGTCGAATTCATTATTCAGTCTTAACTGATCTAACGAGACAAGCTTGCTGACCATTACACTACGTCGAAGTTGCCTCTTCTTGCCTTCAGTAAATGATGAGAGTAATAACATTTTCCAGGCCCCCTTTCCTCATTATGTTCCTTAGATAATTCAATTGTTTCTTCATGTTGTTAAGTATAAGTGTCTTTTTTATTTCCCATTTCTCTGAAACATCGCTGTTGCTCACATATTCGGGCTATGGTATCCCCAGCATCCTTCTGTAGAACTATATTTTTGTTGCTTCAGGTCTCTTCTTCATCTTTGAGAAGATTGTCCAGCCATATTGAAGGACAGATATATTATCACCAAAAACATGGATGCTTTGACATTTCTATTGCTTCAAACGTGATTTTTAGTAGATATTCATGTTTGAATAGACACCTCATTGTTTTTTTTTGTTTTTTTTTTTGTCTTTTAAACAGTGTGTATTACGAAGATAGGCTGAAAAGTTAATAGGTTCTCTATGAAAGGCCAATGGAGTAATGGATAGCGGCTCGGATTGAGGAATCAGAGAGCCGAATTCGAATTCCAGTTGAATCCATTACATTCACTTACGTGCTTAATCCTCCTCTTCTCCTCTCAGCTATGGCTAAATAGCAGGACAGATTAGGTTCTATAGCCTTCGATGGCAACTGGTCTACCGCAGAAAGAAATGGCAACCTACTGTGGGGGGAAAA